CACCCCCTGCCATCCACAGCCTCCCCTGCCCCCCACAGCCCATCTCCATCCTTTAAGATGAAAGCCTGTGAGGTCAGGAGTTTCAGATTTCCCCCCACTAGCGCGTGTCCCCCCCTCTCATGTTCAGAACAGTGCCTGACCCAGGAGGTACTCAGGGGTACCCAGGGGGTGTCAGGGTGCTTTGGTGGTGGGTGCTGTCAAGGGACAGTTCCTACCCCAGCAGCCTAGAGGCTGGGTTCCCCGTGCCTGGCTCTGCCCCTGACTGGCTGGCGGACCTCAGTCTCGGGTTCCCTGGGTGTTGAGTTAGACATGGGGTTTAGATGGATAGTCCTCAGATTTTTCATTTTTAACTGGTGGACAAAAAAAATGTCCCAAATTTCCCAAAGTAAAACAGCTACAGCTGAGCCACGAGCGGCTGCAGGTGAAGGCTGCTGGGGCAGTTGGGGTGGGTTTGTGGGGAGGCTCACACCAGTGGAGCCATCCTGATGAGGACTCCGTGTCTCTGAGGGTCCCGGGCCCCACCCTGCCTCCCCCACACTCCCCATCTTTCCTGTTGGACGTCAGCCCACACCTCACTCCCCCAGGCACCCGAGTCCTCCTCTCCATCCCAGCCGAACCCTGCCTGCCCCAAATGCTTTCAAAGAACACCAGACAATCCCATGGCCACCTCCTCCACCCCTGCCCAGGCCCCCTCCTCGGGGAGTCACAGTCTGCAGCCCTGGAGAGCAGCTCAGGGAGACAACGTTCCTGTTGTAACAAGATGATAACCGCATGCAATGCTAAGGTTTTTTTCCGTCACTTAATCTACCTGAAATACGAAAACGATATGAACAATTTCACAACAAAGATCAGCCCCAGTGAGGAGCCATCCAAAGGTCCCTACAGCCTTGAACAGCCATCCAGAGCACAGTGCTTCCTGAGTCTAACCTTTACTCAACCTGCTGCAGTTCCCGCAGTGCCCCTGTCTCCCAGATCCATAGCTTTGAATCACGACAGGTTTGGGAAATGGTTCCCTGAGTCCCCCCACAATTTGCTGTGAGACCATAAGCCACTCCGTCTGAGCCTCAGCAAAGTGAGACGCTCCCCAACCCCCGCCTCCCCGCCACCCCCTCTTACCTGTCAGCGGCGATGGCTGTCATGGAGTAGATGCTGACAAACGTGACCGTGATGGGGAAGAGGTTCTGAAAGTAGCAGAAGACACGGCCGAAGTACCAGATGTTGTGGCTGGCATAGACGAAGTTGAAGGTGGCATTGAAGGTGGCCATGCACAGGTCAGCCAGGGCCAGGTTGACGATGAAGTAGTTGGTGACCGTGCGCATCCTCTGATGCGCCAGGATGATCCAGATGACCGTGGCGTTGCCCGTCACGGCCACCAGCACCAGGGCCAGGTAGGCTGTGGCCCACAGAGCCAGCTGCCAGCCGGGCATGGAGAAGGCGGTGACATCTGTGCTGTTGCTCTCGAGGCCAGAGGAGATGTTGGTGTCGCCCAGGAGGACGCAGGCCCCCATGGCTGGGGCTGAGTCTGGGTCCAAGCTCTGGGTCCAGGGGGCCTGGCTCCACAGCTCCTCCTGGATCTGCTACGGAAGACAAATCGGCTTTGGTGTGTCGCTATATGGGGGGCAAAGAGGGGCGGAGAGAGGACCAGATGCCAAGTGAGCCACACCAGCCTGGGGGCCACGCCTACATCTCCAAGATGAGTCCGGCTGAGCGGACGCCCAGCCAAGCCATTATCACGTCAGATTCCTGCACCCGGGCCAGACTCTCTCATGGCCCAGGGACATCTAGAATTTAAATCCTGTTGCCAGAGCAGGAGACATCCTCGTAAAATATCAGGTCAACCTCTTCACTGACCGACTGAGTCCAAAGGAGGATGTGACCTCGGAGGTCAGAAGTCAGAACTTGAATCCAGGCCTCTCTTAAGGCTCCTCAAGAAAAATTCCAGATGAGAGTCTAAATGGGGGGTAGATCCCATAGCCTCCGGGGCAGCGGGCCACCTCTCCAGGCCTTGGGGTGCAGGCGGCCTGGGGGCTCACAACCCAGGGGCCAGCCCGTGGCCGCCACTCCCCAGCTGCTCTTCCCAGGGCCTTGGCAGAGGCTCTGCCTGCTCTTGAGGCCCTCATCCCGCCTCCTGCTTGGCGGGGCCTTGTCTCTTGGAAGATTTAAGACGGCCTGCAAGGCGGGCAGCGGCCTCCCTGGAAAACAGGCGCAGCCGGGAGGCGCTGGCATGGAGGGCACAGTCCTCAGAGGTGTTTACACTCCGCCTGGGACAGGAGCTTCATCTAGAGAGTGAGCGGAGTACATATTTGGGAGCCAGAGTGAGTCGGAGCCCGGCTCTGCGACTCTGGGCAAGTCTCTTCATCTTTCTAAAAAGGAAGTCTTTGTGGGATGGTCAGAGATGCCCAGGGGTGTCAGGGTGCTCTGGGGTGGGTGCTGTTAGGTGACTCTGCCCTGCACCGGCGGCCCAGAGGGCTGGGTTCCCTGTGACTGGCTGGCAGACCTCAGGCCATCCTGCTCACCTCCAGCCTCAGTTTCCCTGGATGTAGAGTTAGAGCTGGGCTTAGCTGAACAGTTCTCAAATTTTTCATTTTTAACTGGAGGGAAAAAAAAAAAATTCCCAAATGAAATCTGCAGGGAACCTCCGGGGTAAAACAGCTACAGCTGAGCTGTGAGAGGCTGCCGGTGGAGGTTGACCGGGCAGTTGGGGTCACTCTGTGGGGGGCGATAGGGGAACTAGCTACCTCATCTGAAGAATATAGAAAAGAAAAAAAAGTGCGCACCTCACTGTATATTTGTAAATTTCCAATGAGATATTGTGTGTAAAGTCCATTTAGCCCAAAGATGGTACATATAAAGCATGACATGGATTTGTGGCCTCAAGGGAAGTCCCCAGGAGCCCAGGCCTCTGCAGCAGGGAGAAAAGAGAACCTGGAGCGTTTCCAACCAGATCCCAGGGAAGTGATGCTGCTGCTCCAGGGCCTCGCTCCCCCTGCCCTGCTTCTCCCCCTGTGTTTTCCAACCCGCGGCCTCCCGCCTCCCTGGTGGAGCTGGGAAAGACCTCGAAAGCTCTCCAGTGTTCAGAGACCAGGCTGCCCCTGGAATCCAACATAGAAACAGCGCTAGGCCGCTCATCATGAAACTTAGACCTCTGCTGAAACTGGAAGAGATTCTTTCCAGATTTTTCTGATTGTGAACTTCTGGGTTAATGTATCAACACTCAACCCTAAAATCATGCCTCTTGTTGGTGTCCTTGCTGTGCTGATGTGTGAGGCGTCCTGGGTCTAGGGGGATCCCGCCCTTGTCCTTGGGGTAGAGGCTGCTTCCTGGTCCCTGCTCCTTCCTGGGGGTGTGTGCTGGAGAACTCTGGGACTCTCGCCTCCTGAGAGCCACCTCCAGACAGAACTGGCTGGATCATGGGGCCTGCCCTGTACCCTCTCTGGAGTGGGCCACTATCCTTTATTTGGACTTTGGTCCCCTGCTGAAGGGTCTCTGCCTTGTGTCTCCTTTGGTGGATGCAGCAGCTGTATCCACTCCACTCTGGGCCTTGTTTCTGTCTTGCCTGGGCCCTCGACGGCCTGTGTGCAGAGATGCGAATGCAATCACAAGACAACATTCTCTCTGCCGTCCTGGCCTCCTGCTCTCAGGCAGCCAGGATTTGTTGAGCTTTGAGTGCAAACAGTGCAGGGCTGGGTTGCCTGAGAGCATGTCACAAGTCACAGAAGCCCAGAATAGAACACGCCGGCCCCAATGTCTCGCCACCTCCATTGTGTATGCAACGGGGATTATGTTTTACAGCTACTAAATCTGAGTTTTTATTTCCCCCTTAAATCATAGGCTCTTGTAACCTTCTAACTATGTGCTATAGGACTTGCAGCCTTGTAGATGGAGAGGGTGGGGCCTCCCAGGACAGATGGGGTTTCTGCCAGAAAGCTCTTCCGGCTGGCTTTTTTTTTTTTTTTTTCTTGTACCAGAGATTGAACCTTCAACCCAGGGGTGCTTAACCACTGAGCCACATCCCCAACCTTTTTTATATTTCATTTAGAGACAGGGTCTCACCGAGTTGCTTAGGGCCTCACTGAGTGGCTGAGGCTGACTTTGAACTGCAATCCTCCTGCCTCAGCCTCCAGAGCTGCTGGGATTCCAGGTGAGCTCCACTGCAGCCGGCTCAGTGCTGGCCTTCTGAGCCAACAGCTGGCCAATGGTCTCGAAGGCCCGCCTTTGTTAAAAGAGAAGAAAATATTCCAAGATCCTGTATCCTATGGACACATCAAGAACGAAGGGCTTGCCCATGGAGGTTGTGCAGGGCACATCCCATGGGGGACATGGAGGAGAAAGCCTGCCCCTGCACTCAGGCCGGGACTGAGGCTGACAATGCAGATTGGGTACTTTCAGAAAGCAGTTCCGATTCAGAGTCCAGTGTGCAGGACGCTGGTGTGGGAGATCCCTTGGGATCAGCATCTGGAAGGTAGGGGGCCTGTAGGAGTGGATGGCGGAGGGTGCTGAGCTGGGTGCAGGTCCCAGAGCAGCTGGGGCAACTTCCTAGTGGCCAGGAACTAGAAAGCCTTTGAGAGCTGCCCTGTGGGGCAAAAGTGGCCAGGGCTTTCTATTTCCATGTGGATCACTGGATGGGGGCCACCCCAAGAAGAAGTGTGACAATTGACAAGGCCTAACGAGGGTGACAGCTAAATACTATCCCCAACAACACAGGCAGCAGCTTGCCAGGGCATCTGGGCAACAGAGCAGGGTCCCCCACAGATGAACAGCCTTTTGGACAGGGGTGTGTGCTTCTGAGAGCGCCTTGCTGGTTTGTTATTGTGACCTCCAGGCTAGAGCCCTGACGACTAGAGTTAGGAGAATGTCTTAGGCGGTTTTCCATTATGACAAAACACCCAAGGCCGGGTAACGCATTTTAAAAAAAGAGATTTATTGAGCTCAATTAAAGTCCAGCAGCATGGTGCCAGCTCTGGCAAGGGCCCTCCTAACTAAATCAGATCATGGTGGGTGGTAAGGTGGCAGGAGTGTATGTGAGAGGCAGTGAACACTGGGTGACACTGAAGGCCAGAGAGACCAGAAGAGGCTGGTCTTGCTGTTTTATAATAACCCTCTCTTGAGAGCTAACTGGGATCCCATGAGAACTGCATTATTCCTTTCAAGGGCCACGCCCCCAATGACCTAACCAACTCCCACGAGGTCCCGCCTATTAAAGGTCCCACCACTTCAGGCCTGGCACGGTGGCACACGACTGCAATCCCAGCTACTCAGGCGGCTGAGGCAGGAAGATCACAAGTTTGAAACAAACTTGAGCAACTTAGAAAAATCCTTCCTCAAAAAATGAGAGTCTCGGGGCTGGGGATGTGGCTCAAGCGGTAGTGCGCTGACCTGGCATGCGTGCGGCCCGGGTTCGATCCTCAGCACCACATACAAACAAAGATGTTGTGTCCCCCGAGAAATAAAATAAATATTAAAATTCT